AGCCAGGAGCACTAGTATTTAGAGGTCTAGGATTTTACAATGTGCTCACTCTTTTTCTTCCTTTTCTCACAGTGCCATTGATAATAGTGAATTCGGCCAGCATCGTCCTCTTGTTACTGTTTGGTTGACAGCGTTCCACCAAATGCCAAAAATGAAGCCAGAGGACCAGAAATGTGCCAAGGAACAATCGCACACACACACACACACGCACACACACTGAGCAATATCCGTCATCCAGAGACCTTTTCCAGCCATCAGCAGGATGGAGAAGATCATGGAAATAGAAAACTTCAGTCAGCCTGCAGGTGTTTTCATCCAAAGAGAAGAACCGACCCGTCAGCCGGTTTACATTATTACTGGTGTGGACTGAACACTTTGACTAAACCTAACTTCACCTGCTTGTCAGTGTGACACAAAAGGAGAAAATGGAAGTGATTATTCATCGTACCACCACACTTGATGATGATTCTCTCGTCATCCAAAACTTTTTTTTGTGCTGTACGGAGTGTATAGTCCTTGTTTTCACACATTGAGATGCAATGATTTGTGTTAAATGAGAAACATTTAAGGAGTGTTGTCAGCAGTAGGGCTGCATAGTATTTATTATGTGCTATTGTATTGCTATCTCGGGCTATAGCTATCTTTTTGAAATTTTCTAATTTAGACATTTTGGGGGGGGGGGGGGGTTTACACAAACAGTGTTTTTTTAAGACTGGCTCCTGTTTCAGTCAGGGACTACAGATGAAAAATAGCCTTTTGGCTAACTCTGGGGCATTTACAGGAATGTTGTATTAATGTGCACTTTCTCTGCAAAATAAACCAATAAAATAAGTTTGTATTTTAGACTTCAGTATTGTGTGAAGTTATTATGTGTCCTGAGATGTAAAAGTATTTACTCAGAAATAACATTGTGGCTACTGGGTAGGGAAAATACATGTTTAATTAAAGACTATTGTCAAACTGTTAAATTAATGAAATATATATATTTTTTATGTTCCAGTTTGACTTCTCACAACAATGCAGTATTATATGATGGCCAATATGTAGTCTTCTGTACCAAAACAGCAGAACTACTACAATTCTTCACTTAAAGCCTGGTTAGTTGAACATTATCTTAAGCCGTATACACCTTCAACACCTAATGGGGACATTTAGCTTGAGAAGAGGCATTGGTTGGACTATTATCTGATCGGTTGCAATGAGGAAAATCCAAAATCCCGATTGTCATTCTCAGTTATCGCTTCCTATTGATGTGTAAAAATGTTCTGGGATTTATCTGTAAGAATTAATTTAGATGTGTTTAAATGTGGATTTTAAGACTAACCAAAAACAGCTCTAAACAATGCACCTGCACTGTGCACAAACTGCTTGTCTTGAAATAAATAGTCAATTTATTATAATTATTTTATGTTGTCTTTTTAATATAAAAAAGAGTGGCTTAAGCCAAAGTGCTTTACAAATGACCCCCTTCTTGCTGATATGGTAATGCATCTTATAGCAGTACTTTTTACTTCCACTTGAGCTAAACTGGGCCTTATAACTTGTATTTACGTGTGATGCTGTTTTACGGCTCAACTTCTACTCTGAGTAAATATTGACGTATTTCTCTCGTCTCGATGTTTGTCCATCTATCCCTGCTCCACTTCCTAACTAATCCCCATATGTTGTGAATTATCACAGTTTCCACCCCCAAGTAAGCCCCACAAACATTTTCATAAACAATACTGCAGTTTTGAATCTAAATACATGGGAGAGGGAGTGAAAGGGGATCTGCTGGAATTAGAAGCATATGTTTATCAGGGGGATTTGCACTGTAAAGCCACTTTGATCTGTGATTAGTCCGAGTTTAGCTGTGGGTTCACAGTAAAATCTGTAAGCGATCATACATGAATATGTATCTGCACATCACAGGTCAGGATGTGTGGTGTTTGGGTGTCTGGCCACGCAATGATACATCATTAGAATGTGTTTTGTGGCTGGATGTGCTGTTTTTAATGGACTTAAAGATGCACACATTTTCCTTTTTTATCGTTTTTTAAGTTTAATGAGTTTAAGTCTAATAAGACAAGCTCAACTTTTGAAAGCTATACATTATTATACTATATATTTTTAGTAATTGAGTATTATGCATCTATATAACTAAAATTAAAAAATAAAAGCCTAATGTTTTGAGACTTTACACCATGATTTCTGTCCATCAGAACAATATAGATAGAGCTTTTGATTCAAATTTAGAATAAGTATTGAAATAAAAGATACATCAAATTGTTTAATGCATTTTAATGTTATATACTAACACACAATTGTGGAAGGGAGACAAATCTGGAGGCATGTTGAAAACATATTGTTCCCAACAGTAAACTGTTTGTAACCAACAAAGTTCCCAAAAATACCAAGAACCGATGAAAGCACCAGGAGAGAGAAACTGAGCAGTAAAAGAGGTTAGCAAAAGAAAAAGAAAAAATCAGATATAAAATCAGAAACAAAACATTCCATAAAAGCAAATATTTTGATGAGGGATTAAAAAGATGGTGCTTATTTAGATCTTTAGTCTGACCAAAGACATAGTGAGATTAGTTTTCCAGTGCTATGTTTACACAGTTGAGGAGCTGCACAATATTTTTGTGTAAACCAAAACTGAAAACTAAAAAACAACATTGGGAAACAGTGTTATTCACTGGAGGTATAAAGAGGATTTGATCAGTGCTGTCTGGCATCGTGCAGAGAGAGGTTTTTTTTTTTATCGTTTTGATAATACCTCCCCCCATATTAAATCTCTCCGAATGCCCTAAAAGGCCCACTAATACGATACATCTGTTGGTTGTTAGTGGGATGGGGCACATATGTTTTTTTATTATTATAATGAGTGATCAAGTGGTTAAGGATTACCCTCTTATCTGATTATAACATAGAAATTGGAAAAAAATAATAATAATAGAAAGTCATGTAAAAAGAGAGTGTTATTGAAAAAGAAATCAATAAAAGGAAAAACAAAACATTAAAAACTGAAAAGATACAGGAATTGAAAGAGAGAAGAAGCCGTCGTGGTGTTTGAGCTGTAGAGCAGCACTGAGCTCATAGTGACGTATGACGGCAACACACTTTCACACCAGCGAAGAAGAAATCGTCAACAGGAAGTAGGAGCCGCAGTTGCTGAAGGTTAGCTGTGTAGTTTGCCGACTTTCTAAACATCTTGAACTGTATTCAGTTATTGTGCCTTTTGTGCAACCAAAACTGCAACATTTTGTATCAGCAACGAAGTTGCTCAGTGTGCAGAACTGAAACAAGTGAACGTTACCGGCTAAATGAATGCAAATTTAGCTTCTTCTTTTTTTTTTACCATTAATGCAGGTTTAACAGTGATGTTGACGATGAAGACTGTTTGTCCTGCAGCTGTTTTATCAATAACATTTTTAGACAAATTTAGACGATGAATAAGCTATATCGTAATAATGGGATGATTATGATGCTGTGTTGTGAAGCTTGCCTACTTCAATGTGAGCTAACCCCTTAAACACCACCAACAACCCTTTATCTTTACAACATACATCATGTTCTGCATCTGCTTATTCCAACACTTCCCTGAAGCTACAGGAGCTACACAGTGCTTACACTGGGTTGAGTTCTGCTTATCTTTGTCACAGCAGACATTGACTTGTGGTAGTAGGGAAAAAAGCACAAGGTCATTAATACACCTGATGTATTTAGGAACTTTGTGATCTCCAATTGAAAATGAGGTTATGTGTAGTTGAACAACGTTTATTCACACTTCGGTGTTCATTCAGGCTAAAGTCATATAAAGACTCAATACTTACAGACGCACCAGAGGTAGAGAATTGTGAAGCTTGTTAAATTACAGCCCCAATTTCCATTTAAGTTCCTGCCACACACACACACACACACACACACACACACACACAGAAAAATAAGCTTATTCTCAGCCCGGGAAATTTCTCACGGCACGGTTTCCTGTTTTTAGTAGAGCTACATAATAGATCCGTGTGTGTGTGTGTGTGTGTTTAAGCTGTTCTGGTTGGGTAATAAGAGCATTAATTGTACCCTCACATTGATAACTACATGACAGAAATCCAAGCATGTCTAAATAATAGGGGATCACACAGTGAAATAGCGGTAAAAACACAATCCCGAAATCTGTAGTCGAGGCAGGAAGCCATCAATTCTGGGGACAAACTGGTCAATAATCCTCTCATTTTGGCCAATATAGTGTTTGAACAACGCAGTAATCTGACTAAATCTGCCTCTACCTATGTGAATTATGATTAATGTATAAGCTCTAAAATAATACATTATTATGAAAGAATAAGCTTTTTTAAACTGAGTCAAGCTCCATTTACAGTGGACCGTGGTCAAATTTAGCAGTTTAGAAAATCCTGATCGGAGGCTGCACTCCAAGCAGCTCTTATCTAACAGTGTATCGGTGGCTGCAGGTTCTTTTCCGTTTTATGTTCATTCAAAGTAAGTGAAAGTAAAAACGAACCAAATTAATCTTGTCATGTGAGTGGATTTCTATAAAGAGTGTAGCGAAATCTGGAAACGTTATGGGTTGCCAGTGCACATTTGTTTTCAAGAGTGTCAGAAGTTCACCATGTCCTCCTGTGCAGGTCTCCAACATGGCGGGCAGACGGGCTCTGAAGGCGGTGCTCATCGACCTGAGTGGAACTCTACATGTAGAAGACGCAGCAGTGCCTGGAGCGCAGGACGCCCTGAAACGGTAGGAAAGCGCTCCCACACCAGGGAAGTGGAGGATCTAGAGTCTGCACCAATGAAATAGAAATGAACAATGTTGCTGCCGGTCTTTTGAAGGAAACCACTATTCTAGGATGGTTGCATAATTCAATTTGTTATTATAAGATGTTTGCTTTTGTGTTTTCGGTGCTGTCAGGTTACGGCAGGCGTCCGTAGCTGTGAAGTTTGTGACCAACACAACAAAGGAAAGTAAGAGGCACTTACTGGAACGACTACATCGTCTCAACTTTGACCTCCAGGTGAAACATCGAAAGCCGTGTATTTGATTTAGTGCAGATGTGTTTACTGTGATGTTAAAGCTTGATTCATAAAGGTGATTCATTAAAGATCAGCACTTGAAGTGATTCTTCTGCTGTTTATGACCTCTGGAGTGACGCTTTGGTTCCTGACTCCAGGAGAAGGAGATCTTCACTTCACTGAGTGCTGCGAGGAGTTTGTTAGAGCAGAAACAACACAGGCCGCTGCTGCTGGTGGAGGACAGTGCACTGGAAGACTTCGCTGGTACGAAAGCTGTTAGTTTGCACTTGTGTGTGTGAAAGAGAAAACGTGTTTCAGTTGGAGCTTTTTCTTTAGATGTTTATTCTCCATTTTTCTTTCTTTTGAAACTTTGTTTCAACAACCAGAATGAAAAGTCCCTCTTTAGTTCTTGTGGAGGATATTCTATGAACCGAACTTTCCTCGAGACTTCAGGTATGACGTATGCAGTTATACACGCTCAGGGTTGCAGTTCAAAGAAAGTAGACAGAGATCCGACAGGTTTTAAAGATAAACAACATAACATTTGACAACAGCCCCAATAGGTTGCTACAACTATAAACAATAAAAGAGTTCTGTAAAAATAAGCTGATCAACTGACAGTTAAATGCGTTCAAAAACTCTATGTTACCGCTCTCCCTTAGGCCCACCGGAGCTCTGGCTACCTGCCTTAAAATAGGAGTGGTAACAAGGGGAAACATGGGGAAACAAAGGGTTTTAGCCCCAGGCAAGGCTCCATATTGGATTTCCATAATGAAATATAATTGTAAAACCCATTTATTAAATCCAAAGCACAAATAAGTTAATACACTCAATATCTAATGGGGCAACAAAGATACAATTCCTCATATTCTGCATTTGGCTCCTACAATTATTGTTATTGTTCATCATTATTGGCACTCTGCATATTGCTGCTGTTAATCAAAAAAACATGTATTTCCATTCCAATCTGTCTTTTTTTCAGCAACTACAAAACCCGCCTTGGTTTTTATCTTGACCACCTTTTTTTAAGAGGGTTTGTTGATGTTGCCTAAACCCATCAGATTGTTTTAAGAGTCACAAACCTACTGCTGTAGCTGATCTTGACCTCTGAAGTTATTATTTTTATTTGCATCACTGAACAATCTATATGTAATTTCATTAAATTTAACTGACAACTGTTTAGTTGTCAAAAAATACGAAAGCTCATATTGTGTCGAAAACCCAAACTTAGTAAATTAGTTGCTAAATGAAATGATCATATCAAGATGAATACTGATTTACTAATCCTACTGTATGTATGTCTTTCCATTTCCAGGCATTGAAACCTCCGAGCCAAACGCTGTCGTCATCGGGCTCGCTCCAGATCACTTCAACTACCAAACACTCAACGAGGCTTTCAGGTGGTCAACTCGTTCATTAAACATAAGCTTCAAGTTATTGAGAGGTTTGCTGGCAGGTTACTTAAGGTCAGATTTTGTAATAGTTTTTCTCGCTGGTATGAAAAATCACATTTATTTTTTTGCCATTTTAGTCTTCTCTTGCTGTGCTTCATTTCCTCAGAAAATTAGATCTAAATCAGCTATGAAGTTTTACTGACCTTCCTTTTTGACCATAGAACTTACCTCCTGCGATAGTACCAAAGTTAGTAACTGAAAATGCCATCTAAACTTTGTGCTACTTTCCCGTCTTTTTCCCGCTTATTATTTTTGATCAGTACATTGAAGTATGTTAACCGTGTATATTTCTCCCCAGAATGATTCTGGATGGGGCTCCTCTCATTGCCATCCATAAAGCTCGGTACTACAAACGTAAGGATGGTTTGGCCCTTGGCCCCGGGCCCTTTGTGACGGGACTTGAGTACGCGGCGGACTGTAAAGCTACTGTGGTGGGAAAGCCAGAAAAGGCTTTTTTCACTCAGGTTAGAAATTTATATTTTTACGGGGTTCCAAGTTTAAAAAAAGAAAAAAAAGCTTTTGCATTCATCACAAATAGTTTTTTCTTGTATTGTCTGAATTGATGTCATGGTTATGAAAACATTATTAAACTCTAAATGAGACCTATCTTCTTTTGGTTCTTGCCTTTAAACAGGCTCTGTCTGATTTGGGTTGTAGCCCCAATGAGGCTGTCATGATAGGCGATGTAAGTATATTGTCAACTGTGATTCATTAACAGCAAATTAATTAAGTTCAATTTGAATGTTCAACATTTAGTGGAGAGACTGGAGTGGCTCATTTCTATACACAAGGGCACGGAGAGTGTGAGCGACCTGTCACTTAAAATGTAAATTTATTTACATACCTCAATTTTTTACTATTTGATAACAATATGAATAGACCTTTAGAAAACATCTTGCTTTTGTAACTTCCACCCCTAATATAATAAAACTTTTGGGTATTTCTGTTGTAAAGAACTTATAACTATTTCCACAGCAGCCTGGGAACACGAGTGAAGTAACATGCACACTTTAATTAAAGTGGGTTCACGGTGATTGGTGTCCTTTTGCTGTTTTTATCATAGGATGCCAGAGATGATGTAGGCGGGGCTCAGAATGCAGGAATGTTGGGAATTCTGGTCAGAACCGGTAAGAAAAAACGTCCTTATAGTTTCCTCTCCTCCCTCCATTAGTTTCACTTATTCTGTCATACAATACAGACTTTTTATTACTTTGTTGGACTTACTATACTTTGACGACTTTATCGACTGTACTATGAATATTTTGTGAATTTATTTCAACATACAAAGCTGTGACTGTTGTATAGCTTTTTTTTTTTTACATACTATAGTAATACGTTTTTCAACAGACTATTATGATTTTTTTTATAACTTTCTTTGGACATTATATATTATGAATATTTTGTGAATCTTTTTGTGACCCGAAAATGAGTGAAAAATCAGACTTTTTTTCCCCGACATACTATGCTATGACTTTTTTCACAAGGAATGCGAACAGCAGAAACAATTTTCCGGCCAATATGGCTGATATCTTAACATCAAAAATTATACACCAGGGAAACATTATCCATCAACTTTGAGCACCAAGCATCATTGCTGTGAACAGTCTGCCTCCTCTTGTCCCACCGGCGTCCTGCATCCTCCTGCGGTCTGCCTGTAAAGTGCTCCTTAATCCACGATGCCACAGTAGAGCCAGGTCTCTGAAAATATATCTTGACTTTTCTTCGACATGCTATACCAGGGGTGGCCAACCAGTCAGAGACTAAGAGCCACATTTTTTACTGTGTTACCGCAAAGAGCCACATCATACACATGGGCACACATGAACATCACCCCATCCCTTCCTCTCTCTCACACACACACACACACACACACACACACACACACACACAGACCTCTGCTCAGCCAGATTTATTGTAAATGTCACACACCAACATGATAATGACAGAAATTGACTCCTACAGTACTAAGACCACAGGCCAGTCATTTTCAACAATGAACATTGTGTGCACAGTCTCACACACACAAACTCTCAGTTCAACCAAGTCCACAAACAAAAATATAATAATTTACAATAGCGTTTTTCTTTTACTATGCATGTTGCTTAGTGGGACTTCTGGCATTCCTTGCCTTGAACAATTCTCTTCAAATCTGGCTTGTATTCCGTTGTTGCCACTCGAAGCAATTCTTTTTCATGGGTGTCAGTCAGAACAGATCGATGCTTTGCTTTGATTTCACGTGTTTCAGGGTAGAAAACACAGACTCGCAGACGTATGTTGACCCAAACATTGACAGTATCTTAAGCGCAGCCCGTTTGACATTGGGGTATTTTTCCATTGGCACACTTTTCCAGAACTCAATGGTCCCTTCCCTTAAAGCAGGTTTCAGTTGGTCCTCCTCACAAAGATCGATCATCTCCAACTCAGCCGCGGCCTCATCTGTGACTAGCGGGGCTTTCAAACAGTCCGTCTCCGCATTAAATGGGTCGAGGAGGAACGTAATCTGTGGCCTTTTCAGTTGTAGATCACGGAACCGGGTCACAAAGCTTTCGTGCAGGTTTTCAACCAGTGTTGCATATCTGGCTCTTTGCTTATTCAGGGCGGCGCTGGTGACTTGCCCGCTGGCTTTTAGCAGAGTGGGAAAATGCGTTAAATCTCCCTTTTGAATATGCGCCTTGAACAGCTTCAGTTTGTTGACAAACACAAGCACACTTTGCACCAGGTCAGGCAGCATTTTGAACTTACCCTGCAGGGTCAGGTTCAGTCTGTCCAAGTGACACAGCATGTCGACCAAAAAGGCCAGATCCATAATCCACTCGAGGTCCGAGAGATCGGGATAGTCCTTGTCCTTCTCTTCCATGAACAGTTTCACGGCATCCAAAAGCTCAAAGAAGCGAGAGAGTACCTGGCCTTTTGACAGCCACCTCACAGTGCAGTGCAGCGGCAGGTCACCTGGAAGCCCTTGGTCCAGCTCAGCGATGAGATTCTTGAATTGCCTGTGGTTAAGCGCATGTGTGCGGATGTAGTTGACGATTTCCATCACAGGCTTCATGACGTTGTCTAAATTCAATGATTTAGACACGAGTTGCTCCCTGTGGATGATGCAGTGGAAATTCCAAAACTTGGGAAATGTTTGGTCAGCTTTGCACAGCCCCACAAGCCCGTTCACAGATCCGATCATGGCTGGCGCTCCATCCGTGGCTATTGCAGTTAGTTTCGGTATGGGCAGATTTGCTTTCGCAAATGCAGCCATCATTGTTTCTTTCACATCTATGCCACGGGTTCTGTCTTTTAATGGCACAATATCAAGGAGTTCTTCTTTGATCACACAATCGTTTGACACAGACCGTGCAAATATTGCCAACTGAGGCTTGTCTTGTATGTCACAACTCTCATCCAATGCAACACTAAAAAATTCTGACTTACTTCGACATGCTATACTATGATTTTTCTGACTTTTTCGACATGCTATACTATGATTTTTCTGACTTTTTCGACATGCTATACGACTTATTATGACTTTTTTCCACATGCTATACTACGACTTATGACTTTTTTCCACATGCTATACTATGACTTATTTCGACATGCTATACTATGACTTTTCTGACTTTTTTCGACATGCTATACTACGACTTATTATGACTTTTTTCCACATGCTATACTATGACTTATTTCGACATGCTACACTATAACTTTTCAGACTTTTTTTCGACATGCTACACTATAACTTTTCTGACTTTTTTCGACATGCTATACGACTTATTATGACTTTTTTCCACATGCTATACTATGACTTATTTCGACATGCTATACTATGACTTTTCTGACTTTTTTTCCACATGCTATACCATGACTTTTTTCCACATGCTATACTATGACTTTTTTCCACATGCTATACTGACTTTTTTCCACATGCTATACCATGACTTTTTTCCACATGCTATACCATGACTTTTTTCCACATGCTATACTATGACTTTTCTGACTTTTTTTCCACATGCTATACTATGACTTTTTTCCACATGCTATACTATGACTTTTTTCCACATGCTATACTGACTTTTTTCCACATGCTATACCATGACTTTTTTCCACATGCTATACCATGACTTTTTTTCCCCACATGCTATACCATCACTTTTTTCCACATGCTATACTATGACTTTTTTTCGACATGCTATACTATGACTTACTTCGACATGCTATACTATGATTTTTCTGACTTTTTCCACATGCTATACTATGACTTTTTTCCACATGCTATACTATGACTTTTCTGACTTTTTTTCCACATGCTATACCATGACTTTTTTCCACATGCTATACCATGACTTTTCTGACTTTTTTCCCCACATGCTATACTATGACTTTTCCCCACATGCTATACCATGACTTTTCTGACTTTTTCCCCCACATGCTATACTATGACTTTTTTTCGACATGCTATACTATGACTTACTTCGACATGCTACACTATAACTTTTCTGACTTTATTCTACATAATATACCATGACTTTTTTTTTTAAACATTCAACGAGGCAAGGATATTTATTGTCTTTACGACAAAATGCAGTTGTAGTCCATTTACTGCCAGAGTAAAAACTTGACAAACAAGACAAACAGTTGTACATTCCTGAATGAATTGGCATCACAAGGAATGTGAACAGCAGAAACAAAACAATTTTCCGGCCAATATGGCCGATATCTTAACATCAAAAATTATACACCAGGGAAACATTATCCATCAACTTTGAGCACCAAGCATCATTGCTGTGAACAGTCTGCCTCCTCTTGTCCCACCGGCGTCCTGCATCCTCCTGCGGTCTGCCTGTAAAGTGCTCCTTAATCCACGATGCCACAGTAGAGCCAGGTCTCTGAAAAGATATCTTGACTTTTTTTCGACATGGTATACTATGAATTTTCGTTTTTCAACATGCTATATTATGATTTTTTTTCCGACACTCCATACTGACTTTTTTGTCTTTTTTTGACACTTTGACAAATAAACAGTTTCAGGTCATTTTTTTTGTTGCTTCATCAACCTGTTACACTTAAAAAAAAAACTGTATTATTAATACTGTTGGTTAGTTTTATTGATGGCATTTCACCTCTTCCCGTCAGGTAAATACAGAGCAGGAGATGAGAAAAAAATCAACCCTTCTCCCCACCTGACATGTGACAGTTTCCCAGAAGCTGTTGAACACATCCTGAAGAACCTGCTATAAGCTTAGACGTAACAGAGCTCTACAGTTTCTTCTTCCAGATCAAAAATAAACATTTACACAAAAATGTCTATTTCAGGGTGGAGAACTACTTTTTCAAGTCCAGAGTGTTAAAGTAAAGCATGCATATAAGAATTACCAACCATCATTTGCAACAATAACAAATGTTTTGTCATTATGTATGAATACAAGTTTGAATAGAAAGATATCCAGCATCGTGTTTATGATTTTTGTACAGAAACTTAATTAAAGACAATAGTCCAGAATGCTAAAAAGTAAATGTAAAGCATGCATTTTAGAAGTACCCCCCCCATCTGTTGTCATAAATAAATGTGTTTGAATAAAAAGATATTCAGCTGTTACTGTTTATTACATATATGATCATTGTACATAAAATACTGCATACAAAATACAAGCACTGGCACAGATTGCATACAAATTAGTAGCACTGGCTCAGAATATCAAAGTTTAAAGCTTCTTGTTTTTTGGGTATTTTACTTTTTTTCCTTCACTCATGTCAACAGACAAAAATGCAATAAATTAAGCTTAATTAATTAAGCTAAATCTCTCTTAATTCAAGAAGTAAAAACATTGGCTACAGAATTTGAGGGGGGGGGGGGAGAAAGATTTTTCATTGACTGATGTCAAATATTCCACCAGAAGTTATATCATGGGGACATACTGAGGTCATTAAATTATGATTTTTGTTTTATGTAATGTGTGTGAGCTTAAAATAAGTAATTTAGAAAAGCCCTAATAAAGAGCACACTCTTACCCTGACTCCCACTAACAACAGTTGGTCCTCTGTCAGATATGCTGTAGTGTTGGTATAAAGTCTTTTTTCAAAAATGCCCCGTGTGTCAGACAGACTCGTACTCTCTCTCCCAGGCTGTGTATCTGTCCATCAGGTTCCTGGCCGAGGGTTTGGTGTGTGTGAGGACGTCCAGGAAGTCAGCTGTTGTCACAGTTTCCAGCTGAATGGCGGGCATGTCACAGTCTCCTGTGAAGGATAATGTAAATCAAGCTGCAGTGTATATAAGGGACACTTGACAGAGATCATGGCTGTTGTAGGGGTCCATCTTGCGTCGTAGAGCCAAGACTACTTTACTTTTGGTGTGCTGCAGCAAATGCCTTCACGCCTACACACACCTAACCTAGAACTAATACTAAGGAAACTCATGGCTGCCATCATGTTTACCCAATCACATTTCAATAAAACCATGGAGGGCGTTACCTCATTTTTCTCAGACAAAGAAAGACTTTCCAGTGAATTTCATCTCTCGAGTAACCAAAAGCTAAAATAAAGTTCACAATGAAGTAAAATGCCTACTGGAAATGCTGCCGTGGTTATCAGTATGCCATTCTGTAATGGCCCAATACCCAGATTTATTCTAAACACATTAAGCCATAAAAGTACAAAATTTGGTGCTTTTATAACAAAATGAACAATAGGATGCTATGCTGCCCCACTGTTGGTGTTTGCTGTCGTAGAGCATCAAATGTAACATGCGTTTCACCTACAACGCAGAGGCGTACCTACACACACGCCCACATATCTTTAGCACCTGAGGTGCACTGTGTTGATGAGGCGTTTGTTACAGCTTGCCAAAGTACACGTATACACTTACTCTAGCCGTAGCAAGTACACAGTGAATGTACTGTGCGTTAGTTGGCTGCATCATTTGACACCACATAGTGTGTGTGTGTGTGTGTGGTCCTACCGTCCTTATGCGACTCCAGAGCATCAAAGATCTTGCGTACTGGTCTCATGGCGGCCTCCTTGCACACCAGTCTGAGATCAGAACCAGAGTAACCCTCCATCTCCTGCAACACACACAGGCAGATGAGGCCTAGCTGATAAGCACTGTGTTGTGATTGTATTCTTTATTCTCTCCTCTCAGTGGCAGCAGACATTAATGACACGCAACACAGTAACACCACAATAAGTCATTTTTTCCAGGCAACAAAACAGACGAATAAATGATTTCAACACTTTAAATTGTCTTAATGAGTCTTCCTGTAACACACCTTCGCCAGAGTTTCATAGTCCAGCTCAGTCCGTAGCTCCACCCCTCCTGTGGAGCTGAGAGGAGGCAGCCAATGAGAGATCATGGCTTGGCGAGCTGGCAGGGAGGGAAGACTTACTAAAATCCTCTTCTCTAACCTCCTCAGCATGGCATGGTCCAGTTCCCTGAGAGGAGAGTGAGAACAGTTATAGAACTGTAGACGGCAGTTTATTTCTCGTTTACTTTTAGTCCAAATATCCTTTTTGTTCAAATTGTTTCCTTATGTATTCTTTTTTTTAAAATCAGGTTAACAAAGACGGCGAAATATGATATTATTTTAGGAAATAATCTCAACCCAACGAGAACCGAGTTGAGCAAGAGAAATAGAGAGTTATAAAGCAAAATAATGATTGTACATGCGTGTCCGCCGTTCTTCACAAACACACCGACTTGTTATCGGTATCATTGTGAGAGATATAATACTGATAGCCATTGAGGTTTGTACATGTGTGTTTATGTTGGAATATTACCAAGGCATGTTGGAGGCAGCCAGTACAAACACAAGGTCCTCGGATTTCGCCAGTCCGTCCATCTGAACCAGCAGTTCAGTCTTCATCCTGCGACTTCCCTCATGTTCTCCTCTGAAAACACACATCAGTCTGCTGTTATATCAGGTTTATATTCACCACCACATCAGTCTGCTGTTATATCAGGTTCATATTCACCACCACATCAGTCTGCTGTTATATCAGGTTTATATTCACCACCACATCAGTCTGCTGTTATATCAGGTTTATATTCACCACCACATCAGTCTGCTGTTATATCAGGTTTATATTCACCACCACATCAGTCTTTAAAGGCTCTTTATTGTGACATGAGTGATTGTAATTACAGAACCAACCATGTCAGTCTTTGCACGGTGTTCTGCCCATTGTAATCCTTAAATTATTAAAGGGCTTCATAATTATGGCAAAAAGTGATCATTTCAATTATTTTTCCTTGGATAATAATGATCAATTCTGTTTATTATACATGATGATTTAGAACTATTTTAGTGTAGTTTTGACTAAAAATACTCATCTGCATTCAGACCTTTATTATGACTAAAATGGTATATATAGTTAATACAAATTAACTATAATAATTTAATTAAAATTTAAAGCAAATGTCTGATGTAAAATCTTTGTGAAAAAATTAAAAAAAGCATTTCTGGGTTCAGAAATGACAGACGTCTCACAGTAAGTTAAATGTCTTACTCAAGGACAATGTGACAGGAGACATGGCTTCAGCTGAACGGACATACATGATTGTGTTTCGCAAAAAGTGAACTCCTAACCTTCAGGACGGGGGAAAAAACATTAACCGCACTTTGTGGTTTAGCTCACCCCATGTTGGTTCCTCTCTGGCTCATCACTGACTCCAGCTCATCCAGGAAGATGGTGGATGGGGCGTGGTACCTGGCCAGCTCAAACAGAACCTGCAGACATATGGATACACACAATAACCCAAATCCAAGCATAGTATAGGAGAAAACGAATGTAACCTGAAAATTTGTTGTATTTTGTTATTTGTTGCATTTGACCTATTGTGTGTGTTGAAGAAGGAAGAACCTACCCGGACCAGTTTCTCAGAATCTCCTCTCCACTTGCTGACGATGCTGGAGGCGGAGATGTTGAAGAAGGTCGTCTTACACTCTGTAGCCACGGCCTTGGCCAACAGCGTCTTACCCGTACCTGTGTGTATGCGAGTCAGACGGTCACAAGAATGTGCGGAAGAATTCCAAATTGTTGGACTTTTGGGACCGGAAATGATTTAATGTGGACCACTGATTAACAGCAAACAAACAACAGTTTTGTCTTTCCATCAGCAAACCTGATGAAGGTTTTACGGCACTGGAGGTCTTACCTGGGGGGCCATAAAGCAGCAAGCCTTTCCACGGAGACAGGATGCCTGTAAATAGCTGGGGGTACTGAAATGAGAGGAGTCTAATATGAAAACTACAGCACAGATAAACCTTTAACAAAAAATAAATAAAAATAAATAAATAAAAAAATCACATAACTCGATATGACAATATGTTACAGCTGCAAACATAATCTTCCAGCAAGAAAACATAAATTTCCATTTTCTGCCGGCCAATAAGATGCTGAGCTGTGTGCAAAGAAAACTGATTATCTTGATGTATAGCTGAGTCAGTGCTGCAAATACCACATACTACAAATGAGTCTGAATTCTAGGTGGCAAACAGAGTCCGAGTCAAATCACCAAACTGACCTTTATACTCTAGGGAATGAATAATAATAGAGATGGAAGTTGGGGATTGTGGGAAGGTGCAGGTGCGGTGTTATTCAATAAAACAGTTCGGCAGAACAGAGGACAGACGCATCAGTCCTCATCTCCGTCTGTAAATGTCAAGAGGATGCAGACAACCTGATTTGTTGTCATCATATCCATGAGAGGTCCAGGTGATGATGATAGAAGCGTGTATGTTCTGTGTGTGTGTGAGATATGTTTTATTTGTATTTGCAATATCTATATGAAGCGGCAAAATTGTATGAAAGTGTTTGTGTCTATACATTCTACATGCCATTATATGTGTGTTCCTGATTTCCCTGCCTATCTATCCATCTGTGTATGTTACCATATCAGCCCAGATATAGATTTAATGTCAGCCTAACAGACTGGCCTGACCCCGCCGCCCTCCTTCTCTTAAAGCCCTTTAAAGGAGATGTATTCAGAATCGAAGCTGGGCGACCGGTGCTGAAATACCAGCGTGCCCGGCCAGCGGCTGCACCTTAACGGGATAGACGATGGCCTCTTTGACTAATCGCTTGGCGTCCTCCAGGCCGATGATGTCCTCCCACCGCACGTTGGGGCTGTGCAAATAGATGTCCTATAGGGGTGAATACACACACAAACACACAGGGTGAGGGATGCATGTGGAAGATATCAGCTTGAACTACACACACCCCCCACACACCCTGGTGCGATTAGGCTTGTATAAATGGGTATCCTTTAGAGTGAAACATTCGGTAAGGGAAATAGATAGAACCTGGGCCTTCATTAATACAGCACATCTATCCATTCACAACAAAGCTCTCCGGTGCACTCTAGTGGGCATATTCAGTATCACTTAAAGCATATCTTTACAATTACGCGCCACAAGGTTGAGATCAAATCAGCCTCTCCACGTATGTTTCTGGTTTGTCAGCGTTTGCAATATAGTGTGTGTGTGTGTGTGTGTGTGTGTGTATAGTAGTACCCTGCTGATGATTGCAGCAAGTTCTCTCATCTCACCGCTCATTCCAGGAAAGCCACTGAGAGGCTTTAGCAGCCGTTCCTGCAACAAATCATAAACTCATTGTTATTGGTTGTAGTGTAGTTCTATTAGTAGCTTTGCTATTGTTTGATTTGATTGTTATCGTGGATTTTTTTGCAATGTAATTAAGGTTGTGTAAATGTAATTAAAATGGCAAGAAAAAAAAAGAAAGATTTTTTTTGCATGTTTAACAGACTAATTACCATGTAGTCTGAGTCACTGCCAGCTCCTTTGACTGCGTCATGAATGGAACCTTTGCCGTCAATCATTTGGCCCTAACACAGCCAACACAAGATGTGTACTCACTTAGGCGAACTACGGTATAATAAAAACAAACTGAAAGTGGGGGTTCAGTTTTCATTTCTTTATGAAAGCATGTGTTTGTATTTATCAGTTTATGCTTATACTTTGTATAAAGAGAAAAAAATGCAACTGCTAAATTATGTTAAATGGCTGTATTCATTAGGGGCTTGGCATCGTCTGCTATTGTCTTCTACTCTAAGGTGGTTTAGTTAGTAATGTTTTTATCAAAGACTGAACTCAATTAAAAAAAATAACATACTGTACACAAACACTGAGTCAGAATTTCCAATATCAATACACAAGGACACATTTTAATATAAAACACAAACAATTAAAACCTATTAGAAAATCTGGGAGCTTATTTCTGTAAAATTACAAACAAATAAAATATGTCTTTGTAAAAAAGAATGATCGCCTTCATCTATAAATAACAACAAACACTCCCCGGTACCTTTCTGTTCACGGCTGCCTCACCAGCTGGTCCGTTTCTGATGGAGGAAACGTTGAGACCAAAGTCTGACGACTCTGGAGGAGCAGAAGAGACGTTGTCCTGGAAACCCAGTCATCAGGATGTCAGAATAACCACCGTGTTATTTCAATATTCTGATTTTGGTTGTCCTGTGTTAAATGTACATTTGTATGTGAACAGGCAGCTGTCCTCTTGGCTCCAATTCCAGATTGTGGGCTCGGACACTTGTTGATTTTGGGAAGAGGCTTCACAGCTGAACAGGGACTCCTGCGGGACAAAGAGACACACGGAAGACATTTATCAATGGAAGAAGATGGAATCGACCATAATGGCTCTACCTAGCACACCGCACCTTATTTAACACTACTGAAAAATCTGTCGAATGCTTCATCAAATCAATACTTACAATGATGTTTCTGTAGTGTATTTTACTCGTTTAGTTTATATCATCAGCATGTATGGACAGTGAATGACTATTAAGTCTGAGAGATGGAGAGACTCACTTCTTTACTCCACCACTTCTTGCGTTTCTGTTTTCACCTTGACGTAAAAACAAAATATTCATTGACTATAATTGAGATGTAATGAATAAATCCAAATTATTCCGAATTTAGCCGCAAATTTAGCACATGAAGCATGAGTTATGAGCTCTGTGCGGCTCAGTGTTTTAGTGGAGGTCACATACCTGGTTCTGCTGTTCTTCTGATAAGTTTGGGATATTTCTGGAACTTGACGTAGTGATAACTCTCGTAGTCCATCAGCACCATCTCCAGATCGATGTTATCACAGACCTCGAACCTCCTCACACCTCCATTAGTCTCCTGGTCCAAGGCCACTGCTGCAGACACGTAGCTGGCGAATGGACACACACAAGATATCACACGCATGGACCTTGGACAGATCAAAAAGTAACAAGACACAAGGTCAGATATGTCTGCTGTCTTGTACTGTGAGCCTGAGGATTCCAATATGATTTAGCTTGAATGTGTTTTGTTGATGAATTGCATACGATGTGGCCAATAAAGTCAGACACTTTCTATATCGACACACACACACACACACACACACACACACACACACACACACACACACACATACATCATGTCCTTTCTGCTTTTTACAATGGACCAAGTGTAAACAGGTCACAGCCTTTATACTTCTGTTAAAGACCAAGTCCAGGATTTGAAATCTGCGACATCTCACGTGTCATCAACAGCCGTCCTGTCCTGCTCAATCAATCAATGCCGAAATCAAATCCAATCTGCGTGTAAGATCCCCACCTAAATGCTAAAAATGTAAAAACATGTGTTTTAACATGCCACTGCACATCTGGAGGTTCCAGCACACAACTGCATACTGACCCTTGCCCCAGCAGGTGTTGGTAAATGAGGATGAGGAGACTCTTCCTCCTCATCTCAGTCCTCAGCTCATCCTGTTGGACAGCGACACAGAACACACTCAGCACTTCAAACTGCGCACACACACACACACACACACACACACCACAACACACGACTGCTGCACTATACGAACAACACCCAGGACAAGTCACAGAAAACTAAATATCAGTAGAGGGCGACAAATTGCAAAAAATGACACCCACCTGACTAAGTATCTAGGCAACCTGTAGACGCCGACCTAGCTAGCCTAATTAGCTCAAGAGCTAGCTTAACTGCTTGTTGCGTAACGTTAGGTTAAGGTTAGCTAATTGTGACAGTTTAGCTGTTTGCTGCATAACGTGTGTAAAACGCATCGACCTGGATATATGCTAACTTCGCGTGTTATCTAGGCCAGTTGATTTGACCAGAAGCATAGCTGACGTTAAATTCCCTTCTCCTAGTAAAGTTGCTAGTTAGCTAAAAATTGAATAGCTTACCAACAGTTGTCCGTAAAACCTGCTAGAAAACACAAAAACAAAACCCCGTATTCACTCACCGCTTCCCGGGCTTGGTGGGCGACTTTTATTGATTGATAGGAAAGCTCCATCATGCCTCTGAAAGCTTAGTGAGAGGGTGGCTCTATGCTCCAGTTTCCTGATGTCCCTCAGTAGTTTAGGAAGTCTGCTTCTACGTGTTTGTGTGGGGTCGTATGTTTTGTCCCTCGGGGCTACCGTAGAGAAGCGTTACGTTAACGTATGCTTTCTCCTGTAAGTCGGTAAATAAATACAAACAATGCAGAACAAAGTACTGCAAAAATAATGACAATGCCCGAGAACTATCAAGATGAGGAACTTATGCAACCAGTGATCAACACGGACTATTATAACTTCATAAACCAAGTTATATTACAATAACGTAGATGAATGTATTGTACTTTTCCAGCAAATCACAAAGCTTTTTCATGCAATATATTACATACAGAACTCTAAAATTAATGGATAAATAATTAAATGTTGAATCATTTCACTCACAAATATTGCCATCAGGTGAGAAATTACATTTCAGCCTCATTAAAGGGTGAAATGTTGTTCCCTCTGAGATGGTGGAAGAAGATTTCTATCCAAAAACATCAAGTGATTTGATACTGAATATGTCCACTAGAGAGCAGGGAAGAGCTTTACTGTGAGTAAATTGAAGCTACACATTAATGAAGGCTCAGTGGTTCAATCCGTTTCCTTTATCTGATATTTAATTCCAAAGGATACTTACTGTATTTATGAAAGCCTAATTGCACGAGAATGTGTCTGTTTATGTACAAGCACAGACCAGCTTTCTACTCGTGTGACTGAATCTTGTATTATTTCAATCCATTCTTTGTAATATTTTCTACTTGCATCACTCACTCTGTGTGTGTGTGTGTGTGTGTGTTTGTTCACCCTTAAAGGACATCTATTTGCACAGCCCGAATGTGCGGTGGGAGGACATCATCGGCCTGGAAGACACCAAGCGATTAGTCAAAGAGGCCGTCATCCATCCCGTTAAGGTGCGACCGCTGGCCGGGCACGCTGGTATTTCAGCACCGGTCGCCCAGCTTCGATTCTGAATACATCTCCTTTAAAGAGCTTTAAGAGAAGGAGGGCGGCGGGGTCAGGCCAGTCTGTTAGGCTGACGTTAAATCTATATCTGGGATGATATGGTAACACACACATACACAGATGGATAGAAAGACAGAGGAAGGGTGGACATATAGCATAAACTCAAAGGCTACCAGCAATATGAACGTGTGCTATGACATGTGGAACATGTACACGAGCATGCACATTCACACACACGGGCAAACATACACCCACATGAAATGCACACGCTTCTATCATCACCTAGATGTCTCTCATGGATATGACGACAACAGATCAGGTTGTCTGCATCCTCTTGACATTTACAGACAGAGATGAGGACTGATGTGTCTATCCTTTATTCTGCTGGCCTGCTTTATTGAATAACACCGTCTATTCAGGCAGCATAACTCCAGCTACCCACACTCCCCAACCTCATCTCTATTTCTTATCAACTCTCTGGAGTATATAAGGTCAGTTTTGTGGTTTCACTCAGCTTGTGTTTACCACCCAAAATTACCCCCGATGTGTATTTTTGTTTGTTTTGAAGGACAAAGGCACCTGTGATGGATAAGTCAGGAGAGCTGAGTTCTTAAAATTGATTTGAAGTGTATGCATTTTAAAAAGCAATAAACCAGGCTTGTATAATTTTCCTTCAAAAACATTTATTTCTCCTGGCACGGTCAGTTTTTATCATTACCTTAGAGTAAATTGCACATCCGCTCATCAACATTTAAGGTACAGCGATAATGTTTCTTTGTTTCACTATCCATCCATGAGACTACACTGCTACTGTATATAAATAAAATAACTAGAGTTTGGGTAGTTAGACTAGAAACCCTATATGGCCCTTGATGGCTTCAGGCATCAGTCTAAAATTAAGACAGTTTCATCTGAAAAGGACGTGAACGGGGATGTGGAGAAACTAAGCAGCAACGGTTTGCTCGAACAATAAAATTTCCAAGTAAAGTAAATAAATATTTCCAAAAGACTTTGATTTTCTGACATTTTTTCCCTCAGCATTATATAACAATGTTGCGTTGTAGAAGAGGAAGCCTGTGGATACTGTTTTGTTTTTCCCTATTGGATTAGTGCAAAGATTCAGACACTGAACAGAGGCTGAGGGCACTACAGCCAAGTAGCCTTACTTGGTCAGAGCACAATATCATTCAAGTTTATCTCTACAGTTACATTTTTAAAAGGATTGTGTCATGTGAATGAATGAAATGTGGATAGCTACAGCATAACACAGGAGAGGTCTTAAGTACGAAGCAGCAGTTTCTTTTTTTCCCCATTTTCTAAGCCAAATAGGAATTACACAAAGGGCTCCTAAATTTCCCCAAAGTAGTACCTGTTGTTGTTTAACAGCACCAGTGTACAATATGTGGTGTACAATTTGAAAAACTGTCATTGGACTTAATGGATAACTCTCCATGTTTTGAGAGAAAAGTTGGGTTGTGAGAAGAAATGTGTAAATGGCAATCTGTTAGTGCACAGTAGCTCTGATGTAGCCAAGCACACACACAATGCCAGAGTGTCTGTAATCATTAAAACACTCCGAGCTTGCATGAAGCTGGCTATGACTCATACTGATTGAGCCATAAAATGGGACATTGCACTCACACACACACACACACACACATCATTTGGGCAGTTTTCTCCACCATATTCCATCTGGATTTCAACATTTTCCAAAAATCTATTGAATGAGGAAATGGGAGACAAAGTTCAAGAGCGGTCTGGACTTCGGAGCAAACAAGCCTCTTGGTTTTTTTTTGGCATGATTTACCGAAAAACTAATGCATATATATGTGAAATGGGTATTTACAAAGAAAATAGTGTGCTTTGGCTTTGCATTATTTATTTTTTACAAGCTAAATTGACGATTGCATATTTGTTTTAAAAGAGATTCCATGGTCCTCAAAATTGTTGTCTTTTTTTCCTCTCATAATTTCATGATCCATAATTATTTAAAAAAAGTGATTGGTTGGTTACAAATATTGTCTTATTATTCCCAAAATAAGAATCTTAGATTTGGTGAAAAGGTTTTTGGGGTTACATTCTTTAAACCAGATGTTTAAAATACTATTTAAGACCTTACAGACTACGTAGGCAGCTTAAGCTCTTACTGTGTAGACTAAGATGCTGAGTATCACTGAGGGACTCGTTGAGCGGTCCAGCCTTTATGGAAGTCAGTGGTAAATATTGCACTGTTGTTGATGCAGTTTGATGTCATAGGTTGAAGGGAAAGGGACTCAAGCACTTTATTTTGGACAGCCTTAACGAGGTGCAAAAACTTCAATGTATTATTTTACTGATGCTAATTTGGATAGTCTACAATTCCAGGTAACAATATTTGATCTTGAATGATCCAGCTCAGATTTCCCCCCCATGCTAGATGTTAAGTGTTCAGGGGTAAAGCTGTGTGACGACAAGGCGAACCTTTGATGCAATTGTCCTTGTGCAGGCGTCCAAGCCTCGATCGTGCCTCAGAAAACTCCAGCCTCTGTAAGTAGTGTACCAGCCTCGAGCATCAGACACTTGACATAGACACGCACGGTGTAGAACATTGTGAGGAAGTCCTGGGTGCTGAACAAGGTGTCAGCCAGAGCAAATCCCAGCGTGGAGGGGATGAAACCTCTACCGTACTCCACCATCCACGTCCCGGTGCTCCACTGGACCGACGTGGCCTCGCCTACACCATGTACGATAGTGTCACCTGTGGAGAAAGAGATTTGGAGGTATGGGAAGAGAAACAAACAAAGACAACAACACTATTTGCCATTCAGACATAGTATGTTTACACCATACATTTGGGAAAGACAGAAAATCAATCATACAAAAACATGAAGTTGTAGATTAGAATGTGTTATGGTATTACCAGGGTAGTATATTTCACTCTTTGTTGTCCCCTCCTTCCACTGTCTGAAGGTGCCGGATATGATGGTGTCAGAAATCTCGGCCCAGTAACGACCTGACCGATAAGAGAGCAGACATGGAGTCAAACTTCTGAAATCATTTTATTTTGTATTTCAGAAACCCTTTAATTCAGTACGACCATGACAAAGTTCAACAACTCGATCAGTATCCATGTTGAAACAGATGTTTCCCCATGGCATGGCAAACAGACAGACTTTCAGTCCCCTTCTTTCCTCACCTGAGTGTCCTCCTGTGTCCACTGCAGTGCCAAACAGCAGCAGGTACTCTGTGAGCGAGGCGTGGACTAGACACATCGAGCCCATCCAACCACCGGCGTTCACAAACACCCACTGCAGGTCCTCATCTGGAAGGATGTGGCCAGGATACCTAGTTTGATTATACTTTATTATTGGTTTGTTTTTTCATCTAGTGAATTCAATAACATGTATGCACACCAGGAAGGTTACTGGAAAAACAGCCTAAGGAAGAGTGACGGCTGAATATTAAACACATTCTAATAGATGCAGTCCTCCATGGAGGGCAGACTCAGCTCTGCAACACATCATGTAACATTGTATAGTATTCCTTGACTGAATATGGGTCAATTGCGGTTTTGACAACTGCTTCAACACTTGAAATTTGCATTAGACAGCAGCTATTGGTGCTTACATGCCAGAAATGTTTACCTCTTCCTCAGCTCCACCACCACTTTGGAGAAGGCCTGTTCATGGTCCTGTCCTGAATAACGACATGTACAGTATGGAAGGCAGTGAGGACTACTTAGGGTACTTACAGTCCTGTAGTTGTACTTTAAACTGCATTTCAGTGAAGTGAAGGTCGGTATTGATTTGATTTAGGTATACAGCTCCTCATTACTTAACTGGCTCACCTGCGTACTGTTTGGCCAATTTGGCGACGTCTTCTTTATTGAAAACGTACTGCTTGGTGGCCATCCAGTGTCGCAGCAGCAGCACGGCCGGGACGGTGACTGCGGTGAACAAGAACAGTTTTAAAAGCGTTCTGACTACAGACATGGTTGAAACGGACCGGACAGAGAGACAGCAGCGGGTTTGCCTACACGTGTACACAGAGGCGGACAGGTTGCTCCAGACACGCCATCGGGGGGTAAAGGAGCGAAGTGGAGTCCAAACTCCTTCTTCCTGGTCATGTGGGAGCGGGAGGTGCTGCTCAGCCAATCAGAGGACGAGTTAGTCGCGTGGCCGACGGCAAATTCTGGGTTGCCAGCATTGTTGTGAAACCCTCTTAAGGAAGTTTTTATTTATTTTGCATTCGTAGTAAAAATAAAGGCATCAACAAATGTACATTTTATGACTTTGTATTGAATGCAAACGTTTGATTGCCATTTTGTTATTAGTTGATCATTTTCGCCTTTCATTTTTGGACTTTTAGAGATTTGTCTTATCATATTGATTTGTCCCAAACAGCATGTTTGTTTCGTGTGTCAAAAAAACAGGAAGTAGGCCGAGGAGTTTCGTGGACAGGAGACAGTTTGGTGGCTATAACCTAACTGTTAATTAAAGGTCAGTGATTTAACGCCGGAGAGGTGACCGTTATCAAACAGCACCAACCAATATGAGCGGCACAACAGAAGTCAGTTTCGATCCAAAAGGTACGGAGCTTTGTTAAATTATGAGAGTAAAAATGATTCAATTCATTCAGGACATCCTGCAGATTGTTTACGTCTGTGCAGAGAATTTATTCAAAGCTCTATTAAAAAAATGGTTGTTTCACGTTACTTTTGCTCACTAAACGTCAAATCCACTCTTAACAGACGCTTTACAAATAAATAGGATATACTATCGAACTTTGCATGTATTTAATACACTAAATATATATATTCTACCCGGAAGCTGTTTTTCCGATACTAGGGGAAGCATCACAATAACACACACTTTTCATTGTTCGATCATATTGAATTTCCGTGTGAAATAGAATATATAGGTTCTCAGAAATCAATATATGTTGATGCCAAACCACTCAATTAGTTAGGCCTGTCTTCCTGCATTGACAGAGTGCTTATTGCATCACAGTACACACATCCAGCTGTGTAGTCTCGTGACTTGAGTTCCTGCTGCTTTTACTGCTGCAAACAGTCATCCATATAATCCGCACAGCTATAGGAACACACTTTTTTTTCGACAGAATACTTATAAATACTTATTTATCATTTCAATAAACGAGCAATTCATTGATAATGAAAATAAATATTCTTGTCAGCATTCAACAAGACACAAACAATTCCCTCTACGACACACAGGTTAAAGAGGATGTAATGAGCTTGGAGTGACTAATTGATCAGGTTGATTTCACATGCACATGATTATATTCCACTGTTGGTCATTGTTGCGGCTCTCAAAAGAACCTGCTCTCTGTGTTATTTCTTTGCCTTTCCTCGTCTCATGTCTGCCCCAGATCACCAACACCTGCGTTACAACCCTCTGCGTGACACCTGGGTCCTTGTGTCGGCCCACCGCATGAAGAGACCCTGGGCAGGTCAGGTAGAGAAACCTCCCGAGGAACACATACCCAGACATGACCCCCGCAACCCACTCTGTCCCGGGAACACACGTGCAAATGGAGAGGTAAGAACAGGTTAATACGTTTCACGAAAGGTGTCATTTATCAACAATATTAAATTATTGAGACATATCTGGACTCCTTCAGCTACCAAGTATAAATGGCATTTGCTTTGGACAACAAAATAGGTGTTTTTGTTCCTGTCTATTTCTCTACAGGTAAATCCAGACTATGACAGCACTTTTCTTTTTGAAAATGACTTCCCCGCTCTTCAGCCTGACGCACCAGATCCTGGTGAGGAGTATTTCTGATGCTGTAAAAACACTACAACAAGTAATTGCATTACATAAACTATTTAAACCACTGGTTGAAATATCAGTGCTGTCACATTTTTCTTTTCTTTTTTCATAGTTATTTTGCTGTTAATTGAAAGTACACTCAAATGTTGCTGTTATTTTATCTACATCTTAGGCACAAAACAATTGATTTTTGAGATGAGTTCATGGCCCAATAAACTAGTCAATCAGGCCTAATGGGTGAATCAATGTACTTCAAATTGTAAAGCAAATGAATTGTTAAAATTGTAATACAACATTACATTTGCTGTGTTCTTCAGGTTCAGATCAACATCCATTGTTCCAGTCTAAAGCTGCCAGGGGCGTCTGGTAAGAACAAAGCGTCCTGTCACACGTTGCACGAATGATCACCGTGTCAATGCTGTCTTACCGTGTGAAGGTTTTTGAATTGTGTGCAAAGGACGTGTAAATTATGCAATGTAATGTTAAACTAAAACTGATTCTGAAAACGGCAACATGTATGTTTCATGTCGTGCCTGGTCCTTCACCAATAAACTACAGTGTTACCATGAGAGGAATATCAAACACATACATAATCTAAATTAGCGTGCGGTTAGAATTTAGTCAAGGATGCATTTTAATCAATGTTCCTTTTGTAAAAATGGTGATACATTCAAATTTATGACTACTTAAATCTGAACTGATGAGTGCAATCAGAGCAGTCATGCTGAGGCAACGTTCATACCTTGTTGTGATTATCATCAGCATAATCAGCTATTAGCAGAAGGCAATTTTGTTAATCAACGCACCGCATGTCACTTGGTTTCGGGACTTCTTGAACTATGCAAAATAAATTACAAATCCTCACTCTCAACACATAAATTAAGATGTGTGCAATCCTCTGTGGCACCACCTGATGGGGATGTTTTCTCACTCTATTTTTGACGACCTGGATGCTTGAATGTTCTGATGACATGGATTCCCGTCCAGTGACATTTACCTCAGACCCTTTTGGAACGCAGGGAAATAAGAAGTCTTATTGGAGTCTGAAACCATCTTGTTCCTGGGAATATGTTGTATTCCTTCATGAAATAGCTTGAACCAGCTTTCTGATCTATCAGCATTGACTGTTGGATTTATTCCCTGTCAAAGTCGATATGTGGTCTGGGAACCCTAACAGGGGGCTTTGTCAGTGGCCCCTTGCATACACAACACACAGTAGTGTATAAATAGATCCACCGATAGATAACTTACACAAAACCTTTGCTAATATAGATTTATCTCTTGAAACTTGACCTCACATAGCTCGTACTGTGCCATAGATCAGGAAGTGAAGCTTCAAACACATACACAACCCTTTCACATTTTGATATCACAGCAAAGACATGTGGTCGTCAGTCTGTAGACTGTAGTTATTGTATCTTCAATTCGCATTTCGGGAATACTTTTGTTGATTCTGCCTGACAGCAGAGTTAGACAACAGCTGAATAATAGATTCAATCAAAACACCGTACTGCCTGCGCTGGTTGAAAAACAAACTTCCCATGTGTTGGCAGGTGTGGAGGCTGTCGGTTATTTCTTGCCACATGCACTCACAGAGTAACAAGCAGAGAAACAGCACTGATTGTCGTGTTGCTCTTGTCTTGTTATTGATTGATTGTTACATTTCAGGGGATTTTTTCAACCTCACAGATTCAGTCTGTGTGGGTTCGTGTGTGTGTGTGTTTTTTTGTCTGTTCCTGATGCAGGGGTTGTATACGTGTTTGTTGGGTACTGTTTTTCTTGTTTGTGCAACACTCAGTCCACACAGACTTGTAACGATGTCAAAGTAAGAGGGAGCTTGGAAGCTGGACTAGTGCGTTCTGCCCTGCAGCAGCATTCGAGCCAATTAGAGGGAAAACAAAATGGGAAATGGGATGTGGGTCATGGGAGACAAAAGCGAGATGGTGCGAGGGAAGAGAACCTTCTAATGACTTACTGCATCACCCCTTCTCAGTCATACATTCTCTCTCAGCAGAATGATCCTAAATCCCGTGGCAAATGATTTGGTAGTACTACTTCATTGATATTTAATTTGACAGGCCTAATAGTGTCCTTTTCATTTCCTAGTAAGGAACTGTAATGTAACTTAATTTCTTAGGAAGTTCCGTTTAATTACAATTGTTTATAGCATATAATTGTATTAGCCTTTGAGACATTATTCAACCCACACTGATAAAACAACGGCTCACAAAGACAGAGAAAAAGGGCATTCTAACTTCACCGGTAACCATGAAACAATGTATATATATTAATAAATATATATATATACACACAGAAGTGCAGTACGCAGTATATGGAGTGCTTTCAGTTTCTGTGATACAATTCATAAATACGACCATTCAGTTTTGCTCAGAGCATAAACACCAAAGTCGTGTTCAATTATTGATCATGTTCTAGCTGCTCGGGCCCTTAGAGGAGCCTGTCTGTTGATAGAAATTACATTTTTCTGACTCTGACAGTGGAGCTGGTTTCCAATGGGCAACATAGTTAAGGCTGAAAGCAAATATGAATATCCATCCATCCATTTTCCACCGCTTATCCGGGGTCGGGTCGCGGTGGCAGCAGGTCAAGCAGGCCGACCCAGACCTCCCTCTCACCGGCAACATGTTCCAGCTCATTCTGGGGGATCCCGAGGCGTTCCCAGGCCAGCTGGGAGATGTAATCTCTCCAGCGTGTTCTGGGTCTTCCCCGGGGTCTCTTCCCAGTTGGACGTGCCTGGAAAACCTCCAGTGGGAGGCGTCCAGGAGGCATCCTAATTAGATGCCCGAACCACCTCAGCTGACTCCTTTCGACGCGAAGGAGTAGCGGCTCCACTCCAAGCTCCCTCCTGATGACCGAGCTCCTTACCCTATCTCTAAGGCTGAGCCCGGCCACCCTACGGAGGAAACTCATTTCGGCCGCTTGTAGCCGTGACCTTGTCCTTTCGGTCATGACCCAGAGTTCGTGACCATAGGTGAGGGTAGGAACGTAGACCGAGTGGTAAATTGAGAGCTTTGCCTTCCGGCTCAGCTCCCTCTTCACCAAGACGGTCCGGTGCAGCGCCTGCTTTACTGCTGCAGCTGCACCGATCCGTCTGTCGATCTCCCGCTCCATCTTACCCTCGCTCGTGAACAAGACCCCGAGATACTTGAACTCCTTCGCTTGAGGTAGGCACTCCGTCCCCACCTGGAGGGAGCAATCCACCGGTTTCCGGCAGAGAACCATGGCCTCAGATTTGGAGGTGCTAACTCTCATCCCCGCCGCTTCACACTCGGCTGCAAACCGCCCCAGTGAATGCTGGAGGTCATGATCCGAGGAGGCTAACAGGACCACATCATCTGCAAATAGCAGAGAAGCGATCCCGAGACCCCCGAGACTGACGTTCTCCGCCCCCAGGCTGCGCCTAGATATCCTGTCCATGAAAATCACGAACAGGACCGGTGACAAAGGGCAGCCCTGGCGGAGGCCAACACCCACCGGGAACGTGTCTGACTTATTGCCGAGAATGCGGACACAGCTCCTACTGCAGTCGTACAGAGACCGGATCGCCCGTTGTAGCGGGTCCGGCACCCCATACTCCCGCAGCACCCCCCACAAGACCCCCCGAGGGACCCGGTCGAAAGCCTTCTCCAAGTCCACAAAGCACATGTAGACTGGTTGGGCAAACTCCCAGAACCCCTCCAGTAGTCTTGCGAGGGTAAAGAGCTGGTCCACTGTTCCACGGCCGGGACGGAATCCGCACTGCTCCTCTTGAATCTGAGGTTCGACAAGCGGTCGGAGCCTCCTTTCCAGCACCCTGGCATAAGCCTTCCCCGGGAGGCTGAGTAGTGTGATACCCCGGTAATTCGAGCACACTCTCCAGTCCCCCTTTTTGAAGATGGGAACCACCACCCCGGTCTGCCATTCCATGGGCACTGATCCCGACCCCCATGCGACATTGAAGAGGCGTGTCATCCAGGACAGCCCAACCATGTCCAGCGCCTTCAGCATCTCAGGGCGGATCTCATCCACCCCCGGCGCCTTGCCACCAAGGAGCTTTTTGACTACCTCAGCGACCTCTGCCAGGGATATGAGTGAGCCTCCTCCTGGGTCCTCAGGCGCTGCCTCCTCTGCAGAGGACATGTTGGTCGGGTTTAGGAGTTCCTCAAAGTGCTCTTTCCACCGCCCGACGATGTCCTCCGTCCGGGTTAGCAGTTCCCCCCCCCCCTGCTGAGAACAGCCTGGGGTAAGCCCTGCTTTCCCTTCCTGAGCCGTCGGATGGTTTGCCAGAACCTGCTTGAGGCCAACCGAAAGTCCTTCTCCATGGCCTCCCCGAACTCCTCCCATGCCCGAGTTTTAGCATTCGCGACCACCGCAGCTGCAGCCCTTCTGGCCTGCCGGTACCTGTCAGCTGCTTCAGGAGACCCCTGGGCCAACCAGGCCTTGAAGGTCTCCTTCTTCAGCTTGACGGCTTCCCTCACCTCCGGTGTCCACCACCGGGTTCTCGGGTTGCCGCCACGACAGGCACCGATGACCTTCCGGCCACAGCTCCTAGCGGCCGCGTCCACAATAGAGGCTTTGAACATGGTCCACTCGGATTCCGTGTCCCCAACCTCCCTCGGGATGTGTGAGAAGTTCTTCCGGAGGTGGGAGTTAAAGACCTCCCGGACAGGGTCCTCCGCCAGACGTTCCCAGTTCACCCTCACTACACGTTTGGGTTTGCCGGGTCTTTCCGACCGGTTCCCCTGCCATCTGATCCAACTCACCACCAGGTGGTGATCAGTTGACAGCTCTGCTCCTCTCTTCACCCGAGTGTCCAAGACATACGGCCGCAGATCAAATGATACGATTACAAAGTCGATCATTGATCTCCGGCCTAAGGTGTTCTGGTACCAGGTACACTTATGAGCCACCTTATGTTCGAACATAATGTTCGTTATGGCCAAACCATGGCAAGCACAGAAGTCCAATAACGAAACACCATTCGGGTTCAGATCGGGCAAGCCGTTCCTCCCAATCACCCCCCGCCAGGTTTCTCCGTCATCGCCCACGTGAGCGTTGAAGTCCCCCAGGACAACTATGGAGTCGGTAGGCGGCGCCCTTTCCAGGACCCCTCCCACCGACTCCAAGAAGGCCGGATACTCTGAACTGCTGTTTGGTGCATAAGCACAAACCACAGTCAGAGCCTTGCTCCCCGCAACCCGTAGGCGTATGGAGGCGACCCTCTCGCTCTCCGGGGAGAACTCCAACACAGCGGCGCTCAGCCGGGGGCTCGTGAGTATCCCCACTCCCGCCCGGCGCCTCTCACCCTGGGCAACTCCGGAAAAGGACAAAGTCCAACCCCTCTCCAGGAGCTTGGTTCCAGAGCCAACGCTGTGTGTGGAGGTGAGTCCAACTATTTCTAGCTGGTATCGCTCCACCTCCTGCACCAGCTCCGGCTCTTTCCCCGCTAGCGAGGTGACGTTCCACGTCCCTAGAGCTAGTCTATGCCGCCGACGATCGGCATGCCCGGGCCTCCCGCCCGACCCGCCGCCCGGTCTGCAAATATGAATATGTGGATTAAAATACACACACTTATAAACTCTGTACAAAAACTGGTTAAAACATATAATCACACTCTGAAGTTGTGTTTTTTTGTTCAGTTAGTCACGCTCACTTTTAGTTTTTTACAGAATTCAGCGCTGTTCATGGATCACAGTGGATATTGTGAGTAAAGCTCTGAGCATATAAACTGCATGCTTTTGCCTGGACACGTGTCACATGTTCTCAAATCAACAAGTCAAACCCAGTCATGCCTGTCTCTTATCATATTTACAATCTATCTAAAAAACTCAGTGTTGACACTGAAGTTTGGTCATTATTGGTTGTGATTATATTTCAGAGCAAAAAAAAATGAAATTGGTCAGACTTGCCATTTTCCAAGTGCAACCATGTGTCATTTGATCCGAAGAGCACCACTAACAAGAGCTTCAAATAAATATCCAAAGTAAAAAATGTCAAAGAATATTTGTTGCTGTTTTTCACAAGTGGTCTCTGGGAAGTACAGAGCAGTCATTTCACAGTACTTGGCACTGGACACCAGAAACAATGACTTATACTGTTAACAAGGCCAGTCTTAAACACAGTAGATCAAGACTCTTTAAGAAAAATATATATTTCATTGAAAATCCAGGCAAGACAGCAGCAGCACATGTATCACTTATTAACAACAACCAGAACAAGAACATCATAATAGATCATAAACACACAGAACAGAAGAAATAGCGAGCCAGACAGGTTTAAACACCTGAGATTGGTGCAGTAAGAGGTAATTAAGATGCTACTGTCAAGGTGCCCATGAGCAAAGCGCTGAACCCCCAACTTCCTTGTTTTGAAGGTGAGGGTTATCACCTTCCCACTATCTAACATCTCTCTCGCCATCCTCTCTGTCTATTCTTTCAGTAAGGTCATGTGTTTCCATCCCTGGTCAGACGTCACCCTCCCTCTCATGAAGAAACAAGAGGTTGTCAAAGTGATTGACAAGTGGGCGGAGCTTGTTGAAGAACTAGGAAACACGTACTCCTGGGTTCAGGTATGAGATGCACACACTCTCTCACACACACACACACACACACACACACACACACACACACTCCTATTAACATTCACAAATTATTGATGTGGTTTCTCCCAGGGCTGGACACCTTTAAAATGTAAAAGCAGGTAAACCTTTCGTCACTGATCCTTCTGGATCATTGGATAAAACTTTAATGATGCCTCCGGGCAACTTGCAAATTCAAACAGCAGCAGCAGAGAGAGAAGCATGTCGATAACAGAAAATGACAAAGTTTATACAACTAGCAATTCATTTTTTTCCGATATAAAATGCTGAACATTTTTACAGCGAATAAAGATGCTGTGGAGGTCAGAAGCTGATGCACAACTTTACTGGTTATGACACATTATATAAAGATTGATATTCAGGAACTGAATTCGGAAATATCACAGCTTTTTTAGGTTTCGTGTGTTCATTGTGTTAAATGGCCACAAATACTGCAGTACGCATGACTCCCATAAGCCATCACTGTGGAAAATACATAAGCTAGATCGTAAGTAAAGCACCATGGTTGCTTAAGTGATCTAAAAACCCAAATTTAATTGATTCATATTACTGTAAATAGCTTCTGGTTAAGCTCCATAGGTCAGCTTTTAACTTCTGTAGCGCAGAAAGAGATTGGTGATTCCCAACCAATGCTCCTTTGGACTTATTTTTTCCAAAGTCTTCATTTTTTATTAAATGTACATTTTTTTTGTTATACAGCTATTATTTCAACATGCTCAAATGGCCAGTCATGTATCATTAGCTTCCTCAGGAACACTGACCTCCCAAGTTATTCCATGTCTCTAGTCTGCACAGAGATATGACTAGTGTGCGCATTTACATCCATATTGACATACCCAATATTACCAATAATACCCAGAATATAGCGCATATTCTGCATTTCTGAACCAGTCCCATTCGGTTTACTTGGATGGCGATATTGTAGATGTTGGTAGCTCATGATATCGTCAAATCAAAATTCCTTCCGGAGATCCCAAAATACATGTGAGTGCAGACATCTTTTGAAGTATCCAAGAGCAAGGCACCGGATTTTGAGATCCCTAAATATTCTCACTAAACAGACAAATGCATACAGGCCATTTGAAACAGTATTTACTACCAAATATCAGCACCAAGGACAGCACCTTTTTCCCAATCCCTCCAGTTTTAATTCATCTTCATCAGCAAGGATTTGCTCTGATCAAGAGTCCCAGAGAGACTTGTACAGTCTGACTCTTGACTCAGGGAAGAACGGTAAACTAAACTCTGGATTACGTTTTCCTCTTATTTTCTGTTTTTAGATCTTTGAGAACAAAGGCGCTATGATGGGCTGTTCAAATCCTCATCCTCACTGTCAGGTAGGACATGCACAGATGCAAAAAAACACACAAGGTAATCATTGTACTCGACTGTATGCGCACATGAGTGATTTCAACTACATGAATGACTTACTTGTCCTTGAAGTGAGAATACAAAGTTCAGGAATACATGCATGCATTCACACATACACCAGACTCTTCTTTCAGGTACTTTCAACGTGCAGCATTAACATGAAATAAAACGCTTTTATCACACGAGCACAATACAAGTGTGTGTCACCGGTCCAATTTGCACATCTATGATGCCGTCGTATCAGATTCACGATGACAAATGAAGTTTGCATGTGCTAAAAGGGACTCACTGGTTTTGTGCCAGACAAGTCTCAACATAGAAGCTGCTAATTCACTCTTCACCAACGAATGCGTGCCTGTCAAACTGCACTTCACAGTGAGATGTTGAGAACGAGCACAATCGGGAGGGAGAAAGACAAAAACAGAACAATGGTTGTTGTAGACAGGGTGATATGTTGAATTCTAAACAGCAGCGCTTTTGTCAAAATTATCAATATAATATGTCAGCTTTCCAAACGGTACGATGGGCTCATCAGAGACAGAAATCCCGGTTATCAGCCTGAGAATAATACACAAGTTGCTGGATGTCCATGTATTTTGCTATAACACTGAGAAAGTCTGCTTCATTCACTCCCAGTGAGGAACTGTGTCTTCACCATGCCCAAAACAAACCACG